TGGCCGGGCGGGGCCGGGCCCGGGCGGCGCCGGCGGCAGGAGGAGAAGGAAGAGGAGGAAGAGGAGGAAGAGCAGCCACCGCCGGGCCGGGCTGGGCCGGAACAGCCGAGCAGAGCCGCCCGCGCATAGCGAAGGTGCGCGCGGCCGCGGGGCGGACGGCGGGGCAGATGTTGAATGCGGGGCGGGAGGAGGGTGTCCATCCAGCTGTGCACCTGAACCAGATGTGCCCCTTCCTCCCCCGGGGGGCCCAAACCCTCCTCCTCGGCGCGCTCCGGGGGAAGCCTGGGGCTCTCGGTCCATCCTTCCTGTGCCTTATTGCACAGGACAGCTGGGGAGGAGAAAGAGGGGTTTGGGGGGGCACAGCTGCATGCAGGGCTGGGATGGGGGCACAGCTGGATGCCTGGCTGGGCACCCAGGGCCGGTCCCAACCTGGCGCCAGGGCACTGGCCCCCCGGGCTTGGGGTTCGGGCTGCTCTGAGGCCGGGACAAGCCATGGGGCCGGGGGACAGCGCCCCGCGGAGCATCGTTGCTGAAGGCATCACTTGTGCCACCGTACGCAGCTGCAGGACACGCGGCTTCCCCGCCAGCCCTAGCAGCCCGGAGAGGCCTTGCAGCCCCCGGAAAATTTGTGGTGAGTTTCTTTCTGGTGCGGCCTCGCTTGTCCCCGGAGGCCAGGGAGGCCGGCGGGTTTCTGAGGGTTTCATCAGCCGGGGCTGGGCCCTTTCGGGGGCCGCACGCCGCCCGTGGAGGAAGCTGCAGGGACCGTGCTTGGGCTCCCCACGCGCTACGCAAAAGGCCCCGCATCGGGCCAGCTCCGCCCGCCTCTCACCTCCATGACCCCTCTCCGCTTGGAAGCAGGGGGAGCTGCCCCACACCGCGCATGTGTTTGTGGAGGATGCGAAGGAAAATTTGCCAGGTTTTTCTGTGCTAGGATGAGGTTTTCTTCCCTTACTGTTTTGGTACAAAATGAGGAGAAGCAATAAAATGGCATTTTCACTTCTCTGCTCTCTTTTGCACTCAGAGCTTGACGCTGTGGCTCTAAAAGAGGAAAGTTAAGAAGTGAAGCCACTCCGGGAGCCCCTGCTGCCCGTGGGAGCCCGGCAGGTTGCAGGGGCAGCTCTCAAGGACTGCTCGGGATTCTGTGTAATGAGATATTTGACTAACGAACGGAAAGATGTAGATGGTGCCGCCTGCTCTGGGCCCGGCTCTAGTGGCTCCTCAGCGCCCTGGGGCTGCGCTCGCTGTCCCCATGGGAAGGGGTCAGCCCGCGGGGCCCCGTTGCTGCCAAGGCCCCGTATTCTCCTCTCAGCAGCTGGCAACGGTCCTTGGGGCTGGAGGTGCTGGGTCCCCCTGGGAAATCGGGTGGTTTCTGCAGCTGAGCCGCTAATTTGGAGTGATTTTTGGAGCCATTAATTTCACTCTCCCCTAAGCGGTGCCTTAAGAGCAGGAGCCATCCAAGCTACCGCGAGGCTGGTGCTCATCGTGCCGGGATGTCCGCTGTGTCCTTTGCCCAGACTGTGCCTCGCCCCTCAGGGACGCAGGTCCCCGGGAGCCACCACGTTTGGAGGCTGCCGACGTGGTGGTGTTCGGATGTGATGTCCGCCAGCCCCATTCTGGCAGCGGGATTTGCTGTGGGGTTGGAAACCACCCTGCACATGGATGTGGCCTGGAGCGTCCCCAGGGTGCAGCATCTCTGTCACTGCGCTGGGAATAACCAGGGTCGTGCGCCCTGGGCTCAGTCACCAGTGCAATGAGTTTGGCAGGCTTGGCCCATTCCTTCATCCTTCCCGGAGGGCTTTTGCAGATGCTACAGGGAAGGGTTCGGATGTCCCTGATGTTTCAGGGACCAAGAACCCCAGTGACGCTCATGGCTCTCCTGGGCACCCTGCTGCCATGGGGCTTCCGCGAGAAGGAGGATGTTGGGCAGTGAGTGGCGACCGTGGCAGATGCAGCAGGACACACTCGGCCAGTGACCCGGGGCCTTCGCGCGCGCCCACGGGGTAATCGCAGGGCACAGCGGGACAGAGGCTTTGCGGCTTTGGTCAGAGGCTGAGAGATGCTTCCTGGTGGAGGCTTCTTAACTGCTTTCAGCTTTTCGTTGGCTTTTGTTATTGTGAAATGTGAATTTTGACCAAAATATAAAACCCACACACACCAGTGCACCCTCCCTCCCGGGGCTGCTTTCATTTGCTTTGTGCCTTGGGTTATAGAGCCAAGGCGTTTTTCACGTGGTTTGCTGTGCTAGCACACTTTCATTTTTTAAAGACTTTCATGCCAGTTGGGGTTTATGATCTTTGCCAGGTAGGACTTTTTGGGAAAGCGATAAATTCGTCCAAACCAGCAGGAAATTTCTGCGGGCGCCCAGGCAGCCCCCGGGCCGCGCGCCAGCCGTGCTAAGGTGGCGATAGCCGGAGGGAGCTGCTGCAGCCGTCCTCCGCGTGCCGCTCATTAATGCCGTGCTAATGACCCCGCCACCGCATTTGTCGCGGTGCATCTCCCTGGCGCCGATCCTGCGCTGGCTCTTTCCCCTTTTCACTGGGGAAAAGCCTCGTGGTTCCATTTGACTCCTGCCTGCAGTGA